AGCCCGCTTGGGGGTGGGGCTGGCTGTCATGTGGTGCTGGGGGATTGAACCGCGGTCCATGTGCGTTGCTAAGTTTGTTCTAAGCAGGTGCTTTAGACCACTGAGCCATCTCACCAGCCCTGAATTGGGCTTAAAAAGTAAATTTTACAATGGAAAAAAAAAAAGAATACACTATTACAGATTCTATAAGTCATCAAAGCTATAATGCCAGTAGACACTGTGCTACATTCCAAGTGAGAGAAGAGAAGGAGGGGGTGCTGTGACACACATCTATAATCCCAGCACTGGGGAGGCTGAGGCAGACAGATCACTGTGAGTTTCAGACTAGCCTAGACTAGATAATGAATTCAAGCTCCACATCAACTACATAGAAAGACCTCGTCTCAAAAACAAACAAAACAAATGAGAAGAGGAAAGAAAAATAATGTATTAATTATATGAAAACAAATTTTTCTCAAAGACCCCCCAGGGGCCAGGGAGATGGCTCAGTAGAATAAGTGCTTCCCTGGCAAGCACAAGGGCCTGAGTTCAATACCCGGTTCCGCAAAAAAAAAAAAAAAAATCATCAAAGACCCCCCACTAGATGTCCCCAAACATAGTTTGACTATCACTGGCCTAAACTAATAGCCCTTGATTGGCACTTAGTCAAACACTTAATGACTGATCAATTTTAATAACTAAATTATTTAAAATATGGTGGTTAACACATTGAAAAAAGTACTTCTGTACAATACATTATGTACTAACAATGTTTTTTTAACAGCCTATACTTCAACACATTGTTAACATTGTGCATACTACATGTTGATAACCTAAGTTTGAGGTACAACAGTGTAGTGGTGAAGAGTTCTGGTTCTACTGCAAACTAGATGTAAGATCTTGTCCAAGGTACTTAGCATTTCTGTATCTTCTTTCCTCACCTATAAATGAGGATATATTAAAGAATTGTTGTAAGGACTGAATACATCTAAAATCTTGAGATAGAAGTTAATATATAGTAACAACACAATAAATTATCATTGTAAATCAAATAGGCATTTAAAACCAGAGGTGCGTGATTAACAAATATTTTTCCCCCACGCTGGTGTCAGAACCTAGAGTCTCAAAAATGTTAAGCAAGTGGTCTAACACTAAGCTATATTCCAGGTCCTCAATTATATCTTACTGAAAGTAGGCTCCTTTATGTAAATCAGGGCTTCATTTTTATTGGTGAACTCTAACTTTACATAAATGTTCTGCTCTTTTTCCAGTTCACACTTCTCAAAGCCCTAACCAGGCATGTCCAATGGTTGGACACACCTGTGATACAACAGAAAATATTTCTTAAAAAGGAAGTTTTCTCACATGTATTAACTATTTTATATGAGGTCCAAAACAGTTCCTCAATACAGGTGAAGCAAGCCAAGCACTTCCAATTCTCAAGCTATACATGCCTGCAACTACTGCTTTCTAGTGTAAACTACAAAAGTCAATTAATCCAAGCCAATGAGTACAAAAACCTTCCTGCACAACCACAACAAAGTGATTCTCCCAGATATATTTTAATTTCAAAAGACTCTTCTAAGAAATTAAAAATTCTTATAGACAATAGGATTTGACTCACAGGATCTTTAAAAAAAAAAAAAGTGGCATAAAAGGAGAGGAAATGAGCTGGGGATTTGGCTCAGTGGTAAATTTTTTTTTTTTTTTTTTTTTTTTTTATTTGGCAGAACCTGGGATTGAACTCAGACCCTTGCGCTTGCAGGGAAGCACTTATTCTACTGAGCCATCTCCCTGGCCCCAGTGGTAAACTTTTGCCTAGCATGCTAGAAGCCCTGGGTTCAGTGCTCAGCACCAAAAAAAAAAAAACCTCTCCTAAAAGCAAAGTTGTATGGAAAAGAAGGGATAACTATCCACTGAAAACAAGGAGTCAGAAACCAGTTCTAACCACATCTCAAACATTATCTCATATGATAATCTCACTTACAAAATAAAAATCCAAAATGAATCCAGGACAAAGTAAAAAAGCAAACATCCAAAGATTGGCCCATAAAAAGAATGAATGTATAATCATTGGCAGGTTACCCTTCTTTAAAACTGAAAAAATACTCCATACATCTCAGAAGCAATACAGCATATAAACAGAGCACTTAAAATCCTTCTGATCCTAAAAAAAGAGAAATCTTTCGGATCTTACGATTTTCAGCAAGTTTCTGAACTATTATAACTTATAAATTCCTCATCTATATACAGGTTTCCTGGGGTTTTCACATTGACAAATGAAAGAAAAAAAAAAAGCATGATCGATCATGTCTCTAGTTCAGTATATGGAACAAATGTACTCTAGTACATATTATTAGTTTCCTTCTCTCTCCCCCCAACACACAGGATAATTATGGACATCCAATGAAAAATGTGATATAATACACCACAAAAATTAATCTCTCACTTTAGGGGGAAAATGTGAACTCTTAAAATCTTTCTTTGATTTATGTACTTTTCCCCTTTGGAGGATTATAAGAAACACTGGGGACACCATGATGGCCTTTAACATTCCCCAAATTCCCAAAGTACATGATTATTTAGGATTCTAGAATTTAAACAATTCATTTAGCACTATGTAAACAACTCAAATTCCTGTAAATTTTTGTTTGGCCGGTTAGTTGGTTTTTGGTTTCTTTGAACAGGGTCTCACTATGTAATCCAGGCTCAATGTCCCAGAGTGCTGAGATTATAAGCAAAAATTTCTAAATGTCCACATATTTCTCTTTGAACTATGTTTTCACTTGCCTGTTGTCTTTCTAGAAGTGTTGTTTTTAGACTTCAATTTTATAACATTATTTGATGAATTCACATACTGGTAGTTTATTTTAGAAAATAACACTTTGAATTCTATTATGTCAAAAGGGCCTTTTTAAATGATAAAATTTGCTATCAGTATTTATAAAGGCTATGTCTTGGATATTTTCTTTCTCTGATACCAGACACTTTTCAAAGTAAATAAAACACCTTTTCCTATCCACTGACCCTATGTATATGAAAGTTAATTTTGAGGTCAAAAAAGTTTTTGTAATTACTGAGTCAACTTTTGAGAACTTATAAAAGTTCTCTTTAAAGTTTGTTATGTTGCAATTACAAATTTTTAAAGTCTAAAATTAAAAGTAAACACTGCACAGTCTTAAACCAAAAAAAAGAAAATCTAGGTATGATTTAGGAGTTACAAAACTGAATTAAATTTATGTTCACAATAACTTGTTAATTTATCTGTATTACTAAAAAGTTGGCCCAGGACAATAACAACCTTAAGTTTTCTTTTTCTATTTAGAGGATTGCTAGAGTCAAAACTAACTTTCATGTCAGGTTTATTTCAAGGAAGCTTTACTTTCTTTTTCGTTTTCCATACTACCCAAATGAAAAATTGCAAGGGGCAGGAAAATTCATGTTTCTTTTAATTAACTTTCTTTCGCCTACATGTAACTATTTTTAAAGCATCAAACAACTTAAAATTCTTCTCCAAAACATGATTTTTAAGAACCACTATTAATCCTTTTGTAAAAGCATTATAGCACATTAGACACAGGTAAGTTAATTCTATTAAACACAGCTTCCTAAATTAGACAATATTTTATAATCTTACAAGTTCTGAGTAATGAGAAATGGTGGGTTGTGCGCAGTAAATTCTAAGGCTCATACATAGGTCTGCACAAAGAAAATTTCATCGTACACACAAAATCAACTTTGGTTTTTAAAACATACCATAATCCAATTTTTGATATACCATCTCCTCTAAATTATCACATCCAATTGAGATTATCCAATTTTGTTTGTTAATAGTTCTCACTACTTTAAAAACAAAAAGGGGGCCAGGGAAAACTCAGCTGGCACCGAGCCTGCCTGGCAAGCGTGAGGTCGTGAGTTCAATTCCCCGTACCAAAAAATAAATAAAGTAAAATTTAAAAATAAAATAAAACAAAGAGGACATGTGGTTTGACTATGCGTTAAAAACATTTCGCTGCTACAAGGCTTGGGGGGCAGTCTTGAGAAATATCAGATCCATACTTAATTACATAGCATGCATGTCGACAATACACAGTTCGAACAGCATTTCCTGGACAACTTAATATCACAAAAAAGAACAGAACTACTTTCGTATTAAAAAAAAATATCAAAACGAAAACATAGTATACCGAAACAAACACCTCACTCAAGGTACAAAATTCATGTAGTGTATGTAAGACTGGGTATTTTTTAAAAAATGTTTAATCAACGTTGTTGAATGACAGTAATTCATTTCATCAGGCACTAGACTAGAAATCCCGCTGATGTGCTTCTTTTAGGTGTAAACATTTCATTCTTTTGCAATCCTGATACCAAAAGATCTGAAACCTCTTGCGGAGGCGTGCAACACACTCAGGGAGTACTGTTTACAAATACGGACCTCACAGTTACCCACGTCAAAAGCGCGCGGTACCACTTCGACAGGGGCGGGGGAGGGGGGTAGCAAAAAACGAAATTCAGACACCTCGGCCTTCTCTCGGCAAGGACGAGCCCAGAGAAAGTATTTATTATGTACTACGTGTGTGCATATTTACGAGTTACACAGGCACTTGTGTCTAAGCAAGAGTCAAAGAAGAGGCACACATCACGGGGCTCACACTGGACCAAAGAGAGTGCTCAAGGCAATGCCATCAACTCAAAATCCGCCGCTCCGGTCCACAACAGGTCTCGGAGCAGGGCGGGGAGCCCCAGCCTCTCGGCGGAGTTCGGCCACGAAGAGCCCCAAGCCCTTCTCCGGCCGCCCAGGCCGGCGTCCCTACCTCCCTCAGCTCAGCCTTCGCGCGGGACACCAGAAGCACGTTCCGGCGCCGAAGGCGGCCTCAGGCCCCGAGAGGGCTGCGGAGACGCGCGCGGGCCAGGCCCACACCTGCGAGGCGCGGCACCTGAGGAGGCAGCGGGGAGCCGCCGGCCTTCCCGAGCACACCCCCTCGCTCCCGGGCGGCGGGCGGCCGGAGCCTCCGTACCTGCGAGGCCCGCGAGCTACAGGCGCGCGCGGCGCCTCCTCATCTCAGTGGCTCCCGCTCCCCCTCCGCCTCCCGCTGCCGCTGCCGCTGCCGCCGCCACTGGAGGCCGGGACACGACGAGCTCAGGACTCCACCGCCATGTCCGCCGCGCCGCGAACTGCATTGTGGGGGGGAAGGGATGGGGAGGGGGAGGAGGAGGGAGAGGGAGAAAGAGGAGGACCCACTGAGGGGAGGGGGCCGAGGAAGAGAGGGAGCGGTGGAGAGGGGGAAGGGACCTGGTCGGAGCCCCCGAGGGGGTCCTGGCCCTGGAGGGGCTAAGACAGCCGGGAAGGCGAAGGGGCAGAAGTGCTGAGACGAGAGTCAGGGGCGTCCCTTCCCTTCGTTCTGGGGCACCCGTTTCACCTAGGAGGGGCGACAGGGAAGGACTCTGGGGAGGGACTACACTGGGGACTGCGGGCGGCCGCGGGGAAACAATGGGGTGGGGGCCGCTGGGAGGGCCGCGCACTCACGCCGCGCAGAGGGGAGGCGTGCGCGGGGACGCACCAGCGCTCGCCAGGAGGGGGCGGACCTCCTAGTGGGGGGGGTCCCGGCCCCCCCAGGGTTCGCGGGGAGGGGCGGAGCCACTGAGAGGGGGTGGGGAGGTCCTGCAGGGGGCGGGAAGCGGTGCGCAGACTTCTGCGAACCTGGGGAGGCGGGAGCCGCCGCACCCCTCGCGTAGGGCTCCGGGGTTGCGGCCCGCAGGCCACTCGGCTATGCCCCCTCTCCAAGCGCGAGGGGCCCGAGAGCTGCCTTGGCGCCTCGCTCTCGGAGCTGTGCCCCCGGGGGAGGAAGCCGGGCCTGGGCTGTGCACCCTCCGGCCTGTCACTTCTGGAACTCTTTGCGGTGGGAGGGTAGACCGAGCGAGACCGAGGAAGTACTGGGGGTCAACCGACTCACCCATTCTTTGATGCCACCAGCCCACCACAGCGGGACCCCTGTTCCTCACAAAAGGCAGACAATTCGGGAATTACGTGTAGCACAGAAATCTTGAGGAAAAAAAAAAATCTTAGAAATCATTCCCTAGGTGCGGTCACTTATAGAATCCACTACAGTTACAGAGGACCCCCTCCTCTACTCGCTTTTAATGTGTTAGGTTCCACTTATTTAAAGTCAGTATCAGAGAGGAATTTAAGGCCGGGGAGACAGCTCAGTAGAATTAAGCGCTTGCCTGGAAAGGCCCAGGGCCTTACTTAGTTCAATCCCTGGTTCTGAAAAAAAAAAAAAAAAAAAAAAAAAAAAAAAAAAAAGAGGAATTTAAGGGTTTCACTAGCTGTATTTGAAAGACTTCAACCTCGGAGCTTATTTGACCAACCTCTGACCTAGCGCCAGACAAATCACATCACTGCAGTCCCATGCTAGCCAGGAAAGGGATATGACAGAGGTGGGTGTGGGGGTGACAGGAAGAGACTAAATCTTCATCACAAGATAATGCTTCATAAATTCTCCAGGAGGCTGGAACTAGTAAGAGGTATTCTGCATAGCTCAACTATTATATCCCAGAAGTGAATAGCTCTTGTGTCCATCTGAATCACGGGAGAAGTAGGAGATCATAATAAACTTGGTGACCATTTGCCCAATAATGGCTAGAACCCTAAATTTCAAATCAAAGAGCCCTGCCTGGTTTGGGCACTTACCACCTGGATGACCTTGGGCAAAAATAACTTGAGAGTTTACTCATCTGCAAATATTTTAAACTTGTCCACTTTCAGAGAGATGATGAACACAGCAGGAAACAAAAGTGAAAGCATAATGAGGATGGTAGGTCCTAGCCCAGCCAGTGCAACTTGATGACTTTCACATCCCTGACTGAAAATTTTACAAATAATAGTAAAAATCAAAAGGCCTGGAAATATATCTCAGTGTAAAGATCCTAGGTTCCGTCCCCAGTAGGGAAAAGAGTGAAAGCTTAAAGCCTGTTTAGATACTGAGATGCTGCCAACATGCTCTTCACTACAGTTAGTAATATCAGTGTCCTTGTAGCAGTTCAATTGAATAAACATTTCCTGATTACTTAGTATGAGCAAAGCATTGAGTTAAGTGCCTAGGGATACAAAGGCAAACCACAGATTGGTGGCTCAAAAAGTACACCATTGAGCAAGGAAGGTGGTTCTATTGAGCAACCATAAAAACAACAGGTCATGTGAACAAAGGCTTAGGAAATGCTGCAAAGAATGTTATAAATTCCACTTGTGTGAGGCTTCAATGGAGAGGTAGAAGTTAGACCTTCAAGGCTTACCTGTTACGTGCCAAATAACATGTTTGTGATTTGAAGAACAATATTTAGTCTATATGTGCAGAAGGTACATAAAGAAAAGAAAGCTAGGGCCAGAACAGAGTCCCTGTACTGTCTGCCCTTATCTTTGCAAATAAACACTCTTCTACTACCTTCTCTATTCCTAAAAACCCAGCTCTACTCTCCTCCCTTATTAAATCTTCCAGATTACCCCAACATACACACTACACTGAATAAAATTTGTTCAGTCTCTGAATTCCTAACTCATGGGCCAATGGAGAAAAACCAAATCTACCACAGCAAAAACCTGGGGAACGCCATCCAGATAGCTCAGCAGATTAAAGTGCCTTCTCAGGCAAACTCAGAGGCGTGAGTCCCATCCACACCCGGGGCACACTGAGACAGTGACTGAGACTGGGTGTGGTGACGCATGCCTGTAATCCCAGCTCTTGGGAGGCTGAAGGCAGGAGAATCACTACAAGTCTGTGTAGTGAGACCCTAAAATTTGAATGAAAGACAACTTGGCAGGGAAGATAGCTGGGTGGCATAAGACCTGCCTGGAAAGTGCAAGGTCCCAAGTTTGATTCCTGGTACCTCATACTGTGATTACCCTGAACCTGGCATGCTGGTGGCCCAGGCCTAGGGAGGCTGAGACAGGAGGATCACAAGTCCAAACTATGTAGCAATACCCTGTATCAAAAAAATAAAATTAAAAAATTTTAAGTTTAACCACTAAGAAGAATATATGCAGTGTATTATTTGTTGAAAAAATAAAAAAAAAAATTTAAGTTTTTCTTTGAGCTCAATTTTTCCCCATACCTTTACTTTCTTCAAGAAGAGAGATAAAAAAAAGAAGAAGAAGAAGAAGAAGAAGAAGAAGAAGAAGAAGAAGAAGAAGAAGAAGAA